GGGGCAACTTTAATAAAAATAATTAAAATAATTACAACTTTACAAAAAGAGAGAAGTTGCCGATCTTGCCCCTATACCCGGGGCAACTTCGTCAATTTCTCTCTTCTTGTAAAGTTGTAATTATTTTAATTATTTTTATTTCCAAACTGATTTTAACCAGTTCTATAGTAAGGTAACATTCCAATAGACAATATGCAAAGCATTTTTTTCAGTTTACAGCAGTATTTATTACACAAAATTTAAGTAAAGCTTAACATGCCGATCTTGCCCCGGTCTCCCCTAATAAACAAACTCAACTAAATATTTTCTTTATTATTTTTACATTATTCTTCATCTGTACCTTTTCTTTTCCAACGTCTAGTTCAAAAGAAAAACAAACTTTCTTCTTCTCACAATATGGCGGTTTGTTCTACAATGAAGCCATTTCCGGCTTCGAGTACGCCGCTATTAGCAGAGAGCTACAGCTTCAGTTACATATTATAGCTCCATGATCTTAACGGCTAAAGTTTGAATGAAACGACAATGACGCCTGATTGATACGAAAGCTAGAACAAGGAAGAAAAAAGTCTACTATCAGTTTTCCTTAAAGTAAACGTGACGAAAGGCACAAAAGAAATTAAAAATTTTAATATTCTAAAATCTGTGGAAAAATTTGAAACGACACGCATGATTACCGTACTCGAATAAAATAAAACATTGAATAACGGAGTTTGCACTTATAAGTTATGAAATTTTATACAGTGGATTTCCTAAATTCTCGAACCATGTTGCATGAGAAATCGGAAACAGTGTTGTTCGAGGGATACTACCCGTATTCCATGAAAACTTTATTATGTATATATATAATAAAGTTTTAAATATATTTTTTGCATATGGACACTAAGAGAATCTGTTTCCAAATCTATTCTGGGGTTTCACTAGGCCTACAATGGGGATGACCACGAGGGCCGACACATCCGAGATCCATGAAAAATTCCTGAGGTTTCTGACAGGAACTCGAATCCGTGACCTACAGAACAGCATATTGTACCAAGGACTTTAAACTACAAGGATAGCCAGATCCCGTATATTTGTTAGCGTGACCTTGGCTCTATGTGACGTCACAGCAAGCCCTCTACTTCAACATGACAGATCTTTCAAATAACAAAATACGATAAAATATTAAATCATTTCTTAATTAATTATTAAATTACTACTAAATGTAAACTACTGTAGAATTTTCGGATTTAATAAGTGTACTGTACGTCAATAAATTTACAAGTCTTTTGTCTAATATTTATTTAACAAATTAATGAGCTATATTTTTTATTATGTGATTATCTTACTTAACTTTTTAATTTTTTTTCGACAATCACCATTTTCAGAAGGCATTCTTTTCAATATTTTATAGTTTTCTTGTTTAAGATTTCTATAATTAATTCTTATTATAGTTCTTAATTTACAAAAATCTTTTATTAAAGTAAAAGGTAAAACTGTTTCCACTGACTAATTCTGTACAACTCCGGGGCCTTTTTTATACGATTCATCGTGATATATTTCGAAATATTTATTCCATTCTATAATTTTTGCTAGCCATTCATCAGTAGGTTTAATAAGCCCTCCATAAGATAAATGTTGCACCCATGACGGAATGCTATAGTTGTAATGATTTTTAATTTTGTTAGTGGAATTAATTAAGTTTGGGTATTTTTCTTTATATTTATAGGCAAAATATCCTGCTATATACTCGAGAGCATCGTAGGAAGTTTCTTCAGAGATTGTGTTAAAGTCTAGATTGCATGTAGAGTTTCCTGAAGATTTATTTGAAGAAAAAGTAGTTTTACATTCAGTATATTGGTCTGTATTTTCACTTGATACTTCTACATGTGCTTTCTCTAAAACTTTGGGTATAATATATTCCTCTTGTCTTCGATCTGTAGTATTTACTTTTGACTCTAAAATACCAGGATTCTTACCTAAAATAATCAATCTAATCCTATATATAGCATTTAATGGGCTTGGATGTTCATTAGGACCCCGGCTTCTAATTTTAAAAAAAAAAGTTTTCCAGACAATCTTGATTTAAATTGTGAGTGCAGATGTATTTTATATCAAAAGTCGATTTCATATCTTGAAAAAGATCAATTAGCGATTTCATTGAGATTATCATTCCTTTCTGGAAAATTTGGAGGGCATTTTTTCCACTTGCTCTCATTGTTGAGATTATTTTTATCATTTTATTTAAATGTTCTTCTTGTAATTCCAAGTCTACACCATATCCATTTTTGCTTGGAACAGAACCTTTTGGTGCATAGCTATTAAAAATGTCGAACCACATATTTATATCTCTAATATACGTTTCATTGATAATAATAATTGATTCATAATAAACGTTTCATTGATATTCACATTCAATTCTTTCCATAAACTTATGTTACTGCAACTACAGTCACTGACGCAAGCTACTACATTATACGATAGTAAATAAAGTTCTGCTATTAATTTTAAAAGTATTTCTCTTGTCATTTTTTGATCAAACCCGATGTAAACAGGTTGCTTCCAATTTGAAAAAAGAAGGTTATTATTGCAACCATACACAGCACACCTAGTACTCAGCATTTTGTTCTTCACCTAACATAAAAATATAGCTTTAAATATTTAATGACTTATATTTAAATCATCTTACCTTATAAAAAACTTAGTCAAATAAAACAATTACAGAAATATTAAAATAAATCACTTCGTTAATCACAAAATTGGACGAATATTAAAAGCGAAAACTAAACACGTGCACACCCTGCTCTATATAAACAGAGAGGTCAGGACTCGTGCTGACGTCACTAACTTGCCATTCCTGGCTAACATTGTAGAATAGGGATCTGGCTATCCTTGTAGTATATTGTCCTTGGTAGTATACAGTCCTTGATATTGTACTAGTATTTTTCCCGCCTCGACCATCGATTATATTAATTTTACATAATCGAACATAAACATTTATTATATTCGTTATTTTAATACCTATTATTTAAAATGAATAAATAAATTTAAAAAATTATTAAAAATTATAAATTTTTGAAAAATGGAATTATAGGCAAAAAATTCAGGAAATGATTAAATTTCATTAGATCGTTGCGCCATCTAGTAACCGCTTTCGAAGTGGTAGAGACAAACAAGGTGCTAGTAATGTCACTTAGGCTATTTGATAAAAGTTAGATATATTCATCCAATTAAGTTGTCAATTTAATTCGTAAAAAACAAATGCTGATTAGCTAAACTGACGTCGTTTATTTAACAGAACGGTATTTTTATAGGTAAGTTTATAAACAATTTTCATAAGATAAATCTAATGGTATTTGTTGCATAATAAGTTATGAGCTTTTGAATGTCATTTGCTATGTTTTTATTGATTTAAGGAATAAGCTTGAGTCTCATTTATAACTAATTATAATATCTGGTCAATTAATTTTCAGCACCATTTACCTATTGAAAAATTTTTCATTTTATACAAGTAAATTACTATTACATTGCCAACTACATTGTACTGGAAAGAATGTCTGATGTGTGGAAGTAATTGTGACATGTGTCAATTCATTTATCAATTAATAATGAAAAAAATGTGATTACCAGAATTATTAGTCATCGTGCCAGTTTGGTTCAAAACCAAACAGTTGGTAACTGTGGCTAGTTGCAGATAGGTTAGTTTAGTTATATTGATCACTGAGAATAGGAGGGTACCTTTTGGAGACATTAAGGGAGCAGAAGAGAGTGTGTGTAATACTCAAGCATTTTTAATTTAAGGATCCTGTCTAGCCAATGAATGTAGTTGTTATTTATGTGCCAGTTGCACCAGTATTAAATTAAAACCAACCATGCAGTTCTTCATAGGCTTACTGCAATGTGGACAGGAAGTTAATTAAAAAACCCCCGATTTCCTGTATTATGTGAATATAAAATCATTCTAATTCCTTTTTTATTACAGTGGTATGATTGTGCTGTGCACCTGCTAGTATACTGAATAAACCAAACCAATAGACATTGAAGTGTTTCTTACCGACCAATGGTAGTGATGGGAAAAAAATAAAACAATTGGTCTTTCTCTCCATATACAAATTGAATCTCTGATTACTAAAATTTATAGTGGTAACACGACTTCATTGAGGACAATTTGTAATTTTTTTTCAATATTTTCACAACTTTAAACCATAAATAAATAATAAAATAAATATTTATATATTTATTAATTAATTGATAGATATACTAAGCAAGACTGTTGTTATAAAAAGTTAAAACTATAAAAGTAATTTTTAAATTGAATTTTTATAAGATATTTAAAAAAATACTTGACATCAATTAGTTAATGATTAGACAATTAGGCAATTAGTCAATTAATAATCATTTATTATTAATTGACTAACTTGATAGTCTTTCCATCTGTAATAAAAAAGATTATTGTGTATGAGATTTTTATCTTGTTCAATGTTCTAATAAACTCAATATAAAAACATCAAACTTTTATATTAAATAAACATTTTTAGAATTCTTATTCTAAGACATAGAGTTTGTCATAAGATTCTGCATAAAATATTAGAATAACTTAAATATTAAAAAACTGAATTTTATTTATTTCTGATTAATAATTTGGAATTTTACTAACTTAATATTTAAAAATATGACAATCAGAATATTTGTCATATTTTTATGTGAGTAAAATAGAATCTTATAATGAATATTTATTTTCTAAGTTAAAATTAAAAGACTAGAAGCATTTACCTCTGTATAAGAATGTGATTCTTGTAAATTGTTTGTCATTTTATCTTGTTATAGAATAGGATCAAAAGGATACGAGTCTGATTTTTCAGTATATACTAAACATGGCTGTAGTATGAACTTAAGAGAACAGTAATAACAGTATTTAAGACTTACAAAATTAGAGTAACAGTTACGTTCTTGAAAAAATTTATAAGTTTTAAATTAAATTTTTGAAATAATAAATATAATCTAATTAAAATTTTAATGAGTTTATGGTATATCTTTGATAGAAAGTTCACTAGAATTTTTAAATTACGAAAATAATTGTAAAAAGAAGTGTTTTAAAGTAGCATGGATTTTAATTTCTGTTGTTTAAAGTAAGAAAATTAGAGATAGGACTGATACTAGAGATTGGTGGCGTGCCGTGACATTTGATGATAGGGAAGCTGTGTTTCTGTAAGAATCTGACTTACAGGGGCAATCAGTTAATTGCATGTCAGGGTCCATTCATATTTGTTTGTTCGATAAGCCAGTTAAAACCATACACTTCTTTAAATGTATTTTTTAATAGATTAACTGACGTACTTAATAAATAAACAAGTTCAATATAATTAACTCTAATAATAGAGTCAATAGATTCCCTATGCTCTCTAAATGCCAATTCTTGCTTTGAGAAAAAACATATAACATCTATTAATTTAGATATAATATTTCTATAAGCTGTAATTATCTTGTTATAATTTTCAATATTTTATATTGCTTACTAATGTTAAATTCTATTCTGCTTTGATTTCCAAATTGCTTTAATTTTACGAAAGAATCAATGTGACGTTATGATTTTCCTGTCTTTTGCCAGCTTTAATCAAATTATTTAAATCGTCAAAGCCATTCTTATTACACTCACTCATTTTATTTGAAAATAATAGGCAAGGCCAAAAAAGCAATTTTTGCATTTCTATGCATCCACAAAGCCATTTTGTCTTGATAAATTTTATCATGAAATGTTGAACAAATTTTTTTGTTGACATATTTATATTTAATTTAGGCATTGGTCTTTCTTTTTTAATAATGTTTTCAATAAACACTCAGACTCCTTAAATATACTGACTCAATCACCTTATGTATCTGAGAATTAATATTTATTATCTTACTGACGTTTTCTACCTGCTCCACAGATCATCTTGAGGTATTTTTGAAATTTTTTGAAGTATTTGGAATGTTCTTTTGTATCAGTTACAGTTTGAATGTTATGCAAAACAAAACATTTCAAATACTTCAAAAATACCTCAAGATGATCTGTGGAGCAGGTAGAAAACATTAGTAAGATAATAAATATTAATTCTCAGATACATAAGGTGATTGAGTCAGTATAATAATGTTTTCTTTTTCATTATATGGTCTTGAGCCAAAACTTTTTTAAAATAAATTTTCAATATCATAATTACATTCTAAATCATTAGCCATGATATAAGGGTTAAAATTAAAAATAAAATTATTAAAACTTACTTGGCAAATTAAAATGTGTGATGGATATACAATTATACATACCTGGTACAGAATATTCAATTGTATGAATATACTTTTAAAGAAAATTATAATTAAATATAGTTTTGTAAAGAAACGTACATAAAAATAACATAAAATATTCTTTACTTTTTAAATATTAAAACAATCCACTTAGTTAAAATAGCTCCCTACCAGTGGCTAATGAATGGAATCGGAGACTTCCTGGTAGGTGTGTGGTGCATGCATTCACGCGGGCTGCCAAATCCCGAGGGTGCCGAAATCGGTTAATGTCAAACGTCTCTTTTGTCGCATCCCTAGTATATCTCAAAGGATGCGACAAGTTGTTGTAAATTTTAAACGTTTCTCGCCATAGCTATAAACATTTACATATGTTAAACTTAATAGTCATTTGTTTTCTAACTAATTCGTTTTAGGACCGGATGTCCACAGAAATTTCCAACTTTTCGGTCACTCTCGTCGAACTGGAAAAATTTCTGTCTTTATTACATTAATATTACGAAGAAATCAGGCCCCACTGTACTCGGCTAGTGATTGGTTCGGTTAAGCTTTTGTTTAAGTAAAATTTCGGCTCTTTTGTCGGGGTTTTATTTAGGTCCTAATTCTCTCATCTTTTGATTATTTAACTACTACTTAAGTAGAAATAAGTCGAAACCGGTTACTTTGTACTCGAATATTTGTAGTCTTGGGAAAGAAATTTTTATGACAACGGATATGTAAATCGTAAATTTAAGGAAAAAAATTCTAGAGCTCTTTTTGTACCTTGTGCGTATCATTCATTAAATTTGGTTGTAAATGACGCTGCCAAAGAAACAGTTCCATTTTTTAACATCGTACAAGAATGTACACGCTTTTTTCTACATCCCCTCATAGATGGAACATGTGAAATCGTAATATCACCGTTTAACATTGAAATCCGTAATACAAGATGAGAGAGCGAAATAAAAATATAAAATATTTTAACGAATTTTTTTTAACTTTTGTCAACTATACAGAACTATCATAAAAACATACCAGTAAATTCCTATCGCTTGTGTTAAGTTATAAATCTACTCGCGATTCATATAATGAAGCGAGGGCGGCCAACAGCCCAGAACCGGTCCTGGATAGAATCATTGGAAGCGTTATACCAGTGTTTCTCAACCTCTAACGAATCGTCGCACCCTTAACGTAGTATCGCCCCCTTCAATAAAACCGTTACCTATTATCGCCCCCTTCACTTCAAAATTCCGATGCCGAGGACCAAGACTAATGCCAAATTCTTACTGCATTGAATAGACTAGTGACTAGTATAATATTATTTGTTTAATTATTGTTACGATATAACGAATAAAATATCTTATTATTCTTAATATAATGTTTTACTATATCGCCCAGAAAATTGTTTTTCGCCCCCCAAGATATAAATTGTTACTAATCGCCTCCTCTACATGGAAAAACGCCCACATGGGGGTGATATCGCCCCGTTGAAAAACACTGCGTTATACGATATTTTGGTGCGTATCTTCCACCAGCTAAACTGCGCAAGGTTGGTGCTCTGTAAAGCGCATGCGTGAATGCGTATAATATCTGGCTGTTTTACACCGTTCAAATATTTTTTCCGTGGAAGCTGTCCCATATTCGACAGTACAGCGCTTCTATTCCGCCACTGATATTCGAATACAGTAGTCTATACCAGGGATCGGAATTAGCGGCTCGCGAGCCGCATGCGGCTCTTCGGAAATAAACTCCAATTTCATCTCACCTCATTTCACCGCAGCCTTATAACTTATGAGTTTGAGATAGAGCCGCCGAACAAACTTCGACTTGTTCTCCGTCCGCACATGACCACACTCGCGTTGATCAATATGAATCGCATAAGAGTGGTAGCATTTGAAGCATATCTATATATATATAACCCATTGAACGCGTGTCCGTCCGTCCGTGTAACATTATGCCGAAAACGGCCACTAGAGGCGCCTCTGTCGTGTGTCGTATTTTGCACATTTAAATTAATATGCGGCTCTCTGGTACTAACACTCTGCTACCGGATTGGTCT